CATCGCCGCGATTTGATGAGATGAGCCGTAAATCTATTGAATGATATCGTTGGATTTTATTAGTCCAAGGAAATTGTCTTGAGGACTGTTTAGGGTGTTGAGCGGGCAAGTCACATGTGTTTTTTGTCAATTTCAAGCTCAGACGAAGACGAAGGCGCCAAAACGTAGTTTTAATAATGAAGCCATCCAATCTTGTACTGGCCCATAGGGTTCGTACTATTCCGCTGGGGAAGGGGTTGTATTTGGTTGTTGAGATAGGGGAGGGGGGGGGTCGTATGTGCCTTGGAGAGAAATATGCTGCGTTGGGAGAAAATTTAAAAAAATTTCCTGGTTGTTGACTTTCCGCGTGATTTTTCCTGTCTCATGTGTAATATGGGTCGGAAAAGAGTCCTGACAGTGTTTTTTGAAAAGAATACATCTTCGATTTTGATGCTCGGACATGATGTAGCATGCCATGCTTACAAAACATTCTAGGAGCATGTCCCTGCAAAAGTTGTGTGGGGGCCTGCGCTTTTCTAGGTCTATTACGATGTCAGTCTCACAGGAGCATCTCCGGGTCATCAACTTCTACCGGTGGCCTCGCGGCACTGGAGCCACGGCGGCTGTCTGCAACATCAATTGTACATGGCGGAGGACACCACTACCATCAGGACCGTTCACTTTTGATTCGCCCACTTCGCGAAAGGGGACACGTACCCCCGAAGACAAATTTCGGTTGGACGGTCTTACGCAGTGTAAGACTCCACCATAACTCGAATCTGTCAAGGAGGACCCAGAGGCTGCCACCCGCAGTCTTGCGACAAGACTCGGATGTACCTAATTGACAGTCGTCAAGCGCCTGTAAGCCCTTGACTACCGAAATGTACTGGCTCGATGGATTACTCATGCCTTGACCGATGGCACACTGCGCACCTGGGTACATCCTGGTCAGTCTCTCCGTCTCCGCCCTTGTCAAAAGGTGGTTCCGGGAGACTGCTCATTGGAAAGGAGATGACAAGTGGGTCCTCTGTGATTTCAACCCACACAGTACCGTGCGTCTGTCTCAACGAAAAGATCAATTCTGGTAGACTAAACCGAGCATGTGTTTCGAGAAGGTTCTCCTCTGCTGCTCCTGGGACGCGAGGAGGATGCTGAAGAACGAGCTGCCCTGTAGGAACACACGGTTGCCGCTACCACTTGTGTCGTTCAGATCTTGAAACCGGTGGAAGTTGTTGGAGAAAAACGACCGAGACTAGTTTCGGGGTACCTCGTTAGTAGTACGCGGGACCCCATACCTGCTATGTAAATAACTGAGGAGCAAGGATGGAGACCAGCACCCGCTCATCATATTCTCCTGAAGTAGCTCCCTACGACTGCTACTGCTCCGTCTCCTCAAGACTTTCTTAGCTAAGAAAACTTCCAGCAACTCTGATGACATTGGTTGAGAAGCTGCCGAACTACTCTACTCGCAGCCTCCTCATTTCTGGGAGAGGGGGAACGGTCACCTGTCCATTAGGTAGAGCACTGTAGTGGCTAACTATGACGAATATATTGTTGACTAATTCCCATTGTATGTTGAGTTAAAAAATAAAAAAGGGAAAAGTCACAACGGTGACAAAACTTTCCTTCCAACCTATACATATATACCCCCTATCCCCGCGCTCGACGGAAACTCTTTAGGTGAAAAACTGGAAAATGTGGGAAATGGTAGGAAGGTGTTGAAGAGGGGGAGGGTCGTACCGAGACCTGTTCCAGGTGAAGGGGGAAGGGTCGTACCGGGATTCTTTTCAGGAGGGGAGGGGGGACGTACTGACACCACCATCTCACACATCACGATGCTGTACTTTGATCGGAACGCTGGTGGACGCTAGTGGCCGCTGGTGGAACCTGCCGCAAAGTGTGCACGCAGCCTAAGCCATAGTTGGTGAAGAGATTTGGTGGTGCTGTGAGCCGGTCTCGCTCCTCTCCCCCCCCCCACCCCAAAACGCTAACGCCCTTTTTTGTGGTTATACATCTCTAAAGTGTGTTAACGTGCATATTTGGGAACCACGCGGCAGATGATGTTCCAGGGCACAGCATTCGATGGGGATTTTGGTCGAGCCTGTACGACCCCCCCCCTTTTTTTGGGGGTTCGGTACGAAACCCCCCTTTTTTGCCGTTTGTAAAAGAAGAAAAGAAAAATTATTATGAGCTCAAACCTGCGACGAAAAGCATCCAAAATAAAGCAGGATTGAAACTCTAGGCGAATAAAGGAGACTGTGGATTGAAAAGAAAAAATACAAAGAGTGTCATAACAGAAAAGAAAACTAAAAAGAAATGCATAACAGCCTAAGCGCAGCCGAGTAACCTCTCTGAATAACTTTCCCCGCGCGTACCCGTTTGAATCGGCGCGAGGTACCAAGAGGAAGGGAACTCTGGGAGGACCAGCCGTGGGAAACAAGTTTTCAGCAAGTAGGGTGTCTTTGAAGGACCAACTTCCTCAAGAGCGGACCTATGGGGAAGAGGAAAGCGTATTCGTGTAGAGGAAGGTTTGATCTTCCTGAAAGTACTAAAATGTTCATGAAGGTCGCAAAAATCACAGAGAAATTGCCTTGGGGATTCAATGGGGATTTTATTTCAGGAACAGGTTTGCACCAATATAGTTTTTCTGTAACTCAACATTTCACAAATCTGAGAGCGGATTCGAGTGTATGAAGACTTTTCCTTTCTAAAAACCTATTGAATTGTTTTCGGAAGTTCTCGGGATTCATGAGATCTCGCTATGGGATTTCTTGGGAACACTCCAAGCTGCGGCGAAAAACCCGTTCCCTGTGTACCGTTTCAAGTGAGCGTGTTTGAATAACCAGGAACGCATGAAAAACGAATCCTGTGGTGGAGCAGGAGATGGTTGTTTAGCGCCGATCACGCCAACTTTGGGACGCGCCACGCACTGAGGTCTGCGCAGAGGTGATGGGATGGTGGCAATGTTTGCCTAATGTCTGTCCACACGAGCAAATAATGTCTGTAGGATTCAGGGAGGTCCATGGCGAATGGCGTGCACTTGTTTACAGTGTTTTCCATTGCGTATGAAGGAGCGTGTCCGTGTCGACGCCGCCAGATCTGTGCTCCGCCAGTTGCTAATTCCGATAAAAGGAGACCAAGTGCTGGAAAACGTCTGATACGAATGACATGGTAGCCCTGTCGTTTGTCGAAAAAAAACAGGTTGGCTCAGCGGCCAAGCGTGATCGCGGACCCGCCCCATCATCCGCAACGAACCAGAGTATGAGTTGTACTGTTTAGTCATCAACGGACTTACAAGATGTTGTCGACTTATTAATATTTGCAGTTATTTCGGATTAGTTTGATGGTTGAATGTTTTACTATTTTTTTACATATCCGTTCTCTACGAAGCAAGTTTCGCTACACCAGGATTCAGCACACTGACCCCTTCGCGCTGCTCGATACTGGCTACCGCACTCATTACGACCCCCCCCTCTCCTGGCGGCGCGAATACGACGCCCCTCTATGGGGATTCCCAACCAATGCTGTGGCCCTGTGATGCTCCACTGCTTTGCTCCTTGCCGAGACAGTAATCAAAACAGTACACAAACGGTCCCAGCAAATTAGAGCGCATATTAGCTTGATCGATTACGAATGGAAAGAGAAACGCACGGCGTACCCATTGGTAAGGCATGGCCTTTACTACTAGTCTTTGTCTGTCTGATTCAACAAAGCGTCATCAGAAGAGCACGGGACTCTCAGGTTTTGTTGACCATGCAAGCCATTCAAAAATGTCACCTTTATAGAGGGTGTGGGGGTTCACCCTCCCTTGCGTTCCTTCTTTCCTAGGCCTGGGAAAAACCCTCATCCCATAGCTCACATTTGCTTCCCGCCCTTCACTGTTGAGACCTCGCCACACTGGGGTAGCACTCTCTGGTGGTATTATATTTATGCTCTACCTGAATTTACAATGTCCAACAAACGAACCTCACTAGAGTCACTAAAACATAAGGAATACTAACTTGGCGCGGAGGGATCACATGAGCAGACAAGGCACTGTTTGCCGCGTGTTCCCCCTCCCCCAGCTCAGCCTTAGCTCAGCATCGAATACTGTATTTTCAGTGCTGTCGTAGTTCGTGGTAGCCATGGTTGAACAGCGGCAATCACAGGACAAAAACACTTACTGACGCTTGAGAAAATGTTCTGTGACAACAGAAACCGCTACAAATAGTGAAATTTTTCGAAAAACCTTATTAAGTGAGTAAAATGGAGAAACCAAGGTTTATAAGTACAGGACAGTGACATTAGGCTGATAAGTAACACCTTTTTCATTTTCCTTTCATTAGACCACAGCAGACTTACACATGAAACGAATCTTTATGGCTGCGTTCATCTCAAAAATGTATCACCACGAAGAGATGCATAAATTCCGAAAAATATCACATGTACATACCTACACAGAATGGCACTTGGGCAGAACATATGAGACTGGTCCACTTTTCCTCTATATTCTTCACACCTTAGATGTCAGGAGGACCGCAATATAAGAGCATCGTCGAGGGACGGTTCAGTAGATAACCAGTTCTAGCAAGCGATAATGGCTTTGACCACGTAAGGGGTGGAGGCAATCAGGTGACCTCAAGGATTACTTAATGACTTCTCACCACAATATTCTGATCCAGTCAAGTAGTAAATGACCTATAAATGCACTACAGTCAGCTTTCTGCAAATACAAGTAAATAACTTTAGAAGCACCCATATTTACGTGCCTCTCACGATGCTCACAACCGTCGTCAAACCATAAACAAGAGAAGCAATTGCGCCTGGACTTTTAATACAGTAACTGAAGAACAACATCATAAGTACGCTCACGCAGCATGGCCGCGAATTTAGATTTGCCGTGTCTATAGCTAGTACTCGTAAGGGCACGCATCGCGGCGAGGAAAATTGGGACTTTGAATTTACCCTCAAGCACTGAGCGCTGCCTAGTTAGGTCTCCTTCAGTCTGTAACCCACAATTGACTGCTCATTTTGCGGGAGAATTACGATTGTACTACGGCTTCCCGACGCCTCCGAACAACAGTGTTATGCGAGTGACTGTGGTCACTCTCGCTCGCCTCGCTTCGCTTCCGCGATCGCATCAGCTCGGCGAGCGAGCTAATCTCGCGCGAGATGTCGCTGAGCTGGTGCTCTATGGCAGTGATTCGCAATGAGAGCCCTTCTTGCGTAGAGTGCACGTCTTGGATCAGTTCATATGTATTTGACGATGTCTGTAAGGACAAGTAGAACGAGGGATCGGAAAAAGAAATATATCGACAAATCACACACCTTGGCGACATCACCGAGAGAGACAAAGTTCTCAGCCAGTTTTCTTTGATCTCTCTTCACTTTGCGCATTCTGTAAAGGCAATTAGCACAAAGTAGAAGAGAAGAGAGAAAAAGGCATTAAACAGTGCTGGTAGACGGAAGAGAGGAAAAAGGAAAAATAAATCACTGTTTTCCTTCAGTTCTGACTCAGAGTGATCACGCAACATATATTTAAGAGTATCAAAGGGCTGAGGAACCGTTTGCTGTTCGATTATTCTCTATCAATAGCAAAATGTTTGTATGTCTACATCTGAACAGATATTCAAATTAGCCTCGAGCTCCAAACTTCAACACTGCACACATGTCATAAGGTATGAATCTTCCCTTTGAAAGGCAGTGCACATACCCTGGTCTATGTTTATCGGACTTCTCGTTCCTTTTTTTGTGTTTTCAATCTGTTTCCCTTTTCTCTATTTCTTGTAGTCTGGTTTCCTGCCATTTGTACGGGTTGTCCGCATGGATCTTTATTTTATTATTTCCCTTGTGTGTTTTGAGTCAGCACGATATTGCATAACAAGAAAATCCTGTCCGCGGCGAATTGCCCTGCACACTGAACGGGCAATCTACAGAAATCGAGAGTTTTAATGCACGCTGTTTACGTTTTTCTCAATCCGCATTACTAAAAAGGGTGGGAACTTAGAAACTGTCGCTACTCATCAACACTTTTCGGGATGCCAGATGCATTCTACATACTGCCGTACAGAATCGCAATAGCATTTGAGTTGATATGGTCTATACAATGATTTTATGTGGCTGGCCGATGAAAACTGTGAGCTGTTCCTGTCAGATGAATGCGGTACCACTTACGGTTAGTGTAGCTTCGTTGGTCCAAACGGGAGCCTATTTGAGATTACACCCAAAGACCGTGCGTGTGAGCCACTTGCCACTATACCATTCCCCACTGCACTAATCTATTATTGAATACACATTTGAATTTGCAGTCGTTAATGTGTTGGCAAATATGAGGCGTCTCACTTACTCGTATATAGCGACCAGGAATTTTCTCTGATGCTGCCGAATCCGAGCGTAGTCGACTTTTTCTACCTTTTTGCGAAATTTGTAGATTAGCCATGTTTCTCTCAGCACATTTGCTGCCGAGTGCTTCAACTGAAGAAAAGACTCTTAACAGCAACTGAAACGCTTTTTTTGTAAGTGGCTACTATTATATATTATTGCAACCTTTTTAGTGAGCTGGGTGTCCATCATGAAGTTGTGCACGTGTTTCTCAGCTCTAGTTAGTTCCAGTTTCCGTGCAACAACAGCTACCACCATCGACGAGGTGCATGTACCCTTAAATGCTGAGAAACATCATCATAGCCGCTACCAATACCCTCGAGTTATACCATTTTCAATTTAATTTCACCACTTTTCAAACCGAATTCACCACTTCAAACCAAATGCACCACTTTTTAGACCAAATTCACCACTTTTCAATACAACTTCACCACTTTTCAAATCATATTCACCACACTTTTCAGACCGGGCAATTCATCAACCAGACCACGCCACACACCACTGCGAGCCCCGCTCCGACGGCCACGCCTACTTGTCAGCGCGGACATAAATTTTCAAATTTTGTTTCATAACTTCTGCGCCTGTGACTTTTTTGTCTTTTGCTGTTTCCCGCACACACTTTGACTGAAAACAACTGGACATCGACACATGGCCGACTCCGCACATTCTTTAACACGTTCCGGACCGACGTCTATTTCGCGCGGCGTGTGGAAGCGGCTTTCTGCTGGTTTCATTCGCGATTTTTTTCTTTTTCCTCACTGATTACTTCACTCCAGAAATTTGTGCTTAGGGGCTATTTCACATCCCAAACGCGGATGTGACACTTATTTCCGGCGCCGGCGCCACCGGGTGCCAATTTGGCGCCGCGATCGTTTTTAGCGAAACTGATGTAACTTTGCATTTGGGATTATTAAGGGATGGCGATCACGACTATGTCATTTATTTTTGGCGCCGGCGCCATTTGGCGATATGACCGTATTGATGTAGTGAAGATTGTCACTACGCTAAACTGGAGCCTTGTGGGCCACGTGACGTCAGGCGCCAGCTTCAAGAATGAATTTCACTTGGGATCAGAATCCCTGATCGCCCCTCAAACGCATGTTTTTAAATGGAATTTGGTGAAAAAGCCAGCGCCAAATGCAGCGGACCCTATAAGAGTGTGTCATAGTCACGGAACACAAAAACGCCTCTGCAGATCACTCTATCGTCACGCGGCCACAGGGAGCAGACAACGTGTGACACATCTTGTGTGCCACGCGGTCCGAAATGTGTAAAAGAGTTTATTGCGAACTTAGAATTTTCGCAACTTATTTCAACTTACTTAATTTTGAACCCATTCTTCATAAAACGGAGGAACTTATGGAAGCGCATTCATGCACCGGAAAATCAAGCCCCGCTCCCCGTTCATCATCCTCTTGCGAAATTTTGATCTTTCTTCAAAGTTTCACATTTTTGGACCTCCACAGGAAGCCCCGCCCACCATGAGAAGCTCCGCCCACTGTGGGAAAACCAGGCAAAGTTTGTTCCGAGGGACGAGGTGGACGAGGGAAACCTCAGCATGCCAGTTCACACTCTGAACTGCCAATCCGCATCACTTTTTAAAAGTGGGCGAAGCTCCTCATGGTGGGCGGGGTCTCCTGGGCAGCCCAGAAATGTGAAATTTCTGAAGAAAGATCAAAATTTCGCAAGAAGATGCGAAGTGGGCGTGGCCACGGGGCGGAGCTTAATTTGCAGGTGCATGAATACGCGTCCATAAGTTCCTCCATCTGTGAGGAGTGGGTGAAAGTTGAAATAAATTATGAAACTTCGAAGTTCGCAACAAACTTTCTAAGAAATGAGCGGGTCGGCCACGTGTACAGCAATAGACAAAAAAGTCACAGCTGCAGAAACGAAATAAAATTTGAAATTTATGTCCGCGCTTGCAAGTGGGCGTGGTTGTCGGGCGGGCTCGCAGTGGTGTCTGGCGTTATCTGGTTGATGCATTGCGCCGTCTAAGAAGTGTGGTGAGTATGGTTCAAAAAGTGGTGAATTTTGTTTGAAAGGTGGTAAGTTTGGTTTGAAAAGTGGTGAATTCGGTGAAAAGTGATGAATTTAAAGTAAAAATGGTATACAGGAGGGCCAAAAAGACTTTTTTCTTCCTCGACTTTCGAGGCGCTGGAAATCAAACTTCATTGGATTCTTATCGGACATTTCTACCACCACATTAAAGAGCATATTGAATACTATCGGGACTCTCCGCCACAGCCTTCTGGAGGAGCGCCATCGAAAGATTCTGCCACGCGACCGTCGTGGGTGCGTGAGTTCAGTGACATCGTTGATTTCTCCGCCACTGTAGACCGCCCTATTGAACTCCGTCCGGACCAGGTAATTGAGGGGGTTTAGGTCTGGTTACCTGCTTAGATATTCCACCTTCTTCAGGTACTCAACGCCCTTCCATTCCAAGTAGGCGAGAGTTTCTCCAATGCCCTTTGATTCCATGTGGTGGCGCGCAATGCTGTAGCAGTACAAAGTTTCCAAGAAGGTACGGGCGACGCCATGTGGATATTCTTCTTTAGTTGCTCGATGCAACCGCCAACGCTCACCTTCAGTCCGAGACCCACGAAAAAATATAGGTCTCTCCATTCCAGCTGTGTCCGGTCCTCACCATCAACTGGCGCCTTGGTGGCTGAGGTGAAGATGATGTCCTAGACCGTAGCGACGTTGTCGGAGCAGTACTGGTCTCTAGGTTGCTACTCATGGGTGACTCCTTACTAGAAGTTTCGCAGCTGTTCGGAGGTGACACCAATTCTGAAGGTCTTCTCCAGTCAGGTTGCGGCTGGAGGTGACTTCATATTTTGGTGTACATGAAGGTGATGGGCGAGCGGAAGCTCCTGCTTATAGAGGAACATCTTGAGTCTTTTCCGCCCTGGTGAAAACTTTGCTGATACGTGACTCGGTCGAAATGTCTTTTTTTGCCCCCCCCCCCTGTATAAGCACTCAGGAATGCTGAGAAACAACATCACATTCGCAAACACAGGCTCTTTTAGCGTTGGGCCATCACAGCGTACTCGCAGCAAGGAAGAGAGTTTACGAAACAGGAACACCTATGTACTGTCTAGCATTGTTATGCAACAGTAGCTATGCTAGACAGGACACGCCATCTTGTTGTGAGAAAATTCTGGTGGATACGAGCCTCTCCCTCAGAAAGGCTCTCGATACCAACCCCCCCTCCTCCTCCCCTGTTCCCTGGTAATCTGGTAGCAGCGCATTACACTAGCAGCCGGCAAACAAACACAGAAAGAAGTTGCAAAAAAGAAAAAAGACGCTATGGTCATGAAAGATAAGTGTGAGAAACACGGAGACAATGAGCCATGATAGATCATAAATGAATAAACAAAAATAATAAACGGTGCTGTTTAGCGATTGGCGTTTTGGGGGGGGGCATTTTGTACCAACACTGCTTCCCTAGTTCCGGTTTACGAATCTCACCATGGTAAAACTTGTGGACGCCTGTGAAGCTGGAGTAAGATCGTCTAGCCACCATCCTAAAACGTGTCAACTCGAGAAAAGGGTACCCTGTGGCGGCCCTTCCTCTTCTTCCTTCTAACAAGGGAATCCGATCAAGCTATTTATTCTCGTAGTAGTAGGCAAAGCAGTTAAGCGGCGATAGGCAGAGCTCTCGCCGGCCAGATTCACCACTTCGAGGCGCTGCAGCTCAGCTGACTGCCAGTGCTTGCCGCCGCAGCCCCTCCCACTGTCCGGAGAGTGCTCTGCATTAGATACGGTAAAGAACGTTGCTGTTGCAGGTGCACACCGCAACATACCTAGATGGGTCGCCATATCTATGGCCGAATACCCCCCCCCTGTCGACAAACGCGCCTAATAAACTATAGATGAGCCATAAGACATAAAAAAGAAAGAAAAACGGAAATATCTATGTGCCAACACTTGAATATTAATCGTTCGTGGCTATTTAAAGTTGAGTTAGAGCACGCTTTGTGCCGTGGTTCTGCGGAACTTTTGACGAGGGAAAAGCAGGGCTGTGGAGCACGGTTGACAGTTATCACTTGAGTTCAAAACCTCTCTTCAAGGTACTTTCTCCGTTGTGATCCCGTTGTGACACTTTGGGCCATTCACAAGTTCTGAAGCTTTGAACAGCCATAGCAATCTTCATACAAAGCTGTTTGTAAAACAAAAAGTAGTGACGGAATTTCGAAGGTTCCTTCTTTACAGCAAGGCTTTCACTATATCCTTAGACCTGCTATTCGAAAAAATCCCCCATTGTGATGTGGACGCGACCTCCTTGGATCGGCACGAAAAACAGACCCCTCCGGCGCCGGCGTATGAAACTGTGGTATGCTTCTGAAACACACGTTCTCGAAAGGGGTATCAGGAAATAGTTCATTCGGCGCCGATTGGCATCAATTCTGTAACGCGCCACGCATAGGGCTCACGCAGAGGTATTGGGAAGGTGCAACTTCTGAATATGGCTTCCTCCGTGTAAGCACGATGTGCTCCTGCGATCAGAAAGATTGGGGTGTATTTGTTTATCAGTTCATGACGTCGTTATGGGTGGCCATCGTATTTCCTGTCATCGCCCGTTTCCCACTTCTGCGCTGGCAGGTTGCTTCTGTCTTGTGTCTGTCTCTTCAGGTGTTCTTCATAGGAATAAGTCTTTCATTATTGAAGCTGAACAACATCTGAGTATTGCAGCACTCCCCACTGAAAAGGCCCTGCGCCTACGCCTCCCCACCTCCCTCGGGGTCAAATACGACCCCCCCCCTGTTGTGATTATCACAAAGATGGCGTGCCCTGATGCTAGAGTGAAGCTGTAATAACACGTAACTTATTCGCATGTCCGTTCCGCCTAGGGCTCATCATCGTTAGGGATTCCCCAACAAGGAGGTTCTATTTGGTCCCTAGATGAGGGGTCGAATTCGGCACGAGAGAATTTGTAGCGTTGGATCTGTTTGTTTGTTTGCTTGTCAAAAACTTCTTTTGACCTGGAAAACAAATTGGAGAGGCAGTATGGAAACGGCACGGGACAAAATGTAAAGAGCACACATGAGCTATGCAAGGCCCAGTGTGCCGGGCTTCGCAGAAAGTCGGCGGAGCTGCAGACAAAAATTCATAAATCACTTTTAGAGCAACCCAGAGATGGGAGAAAAAAGTGGAATTTTCTTAACAAGGGGTTGATTAGGGGAGAGGAGTACCTTCCACAAAACTCAGTAACTCGGTTCCTGATCAAATTGGAAATCGCAAAATAGTCGATGCATAAA